AAAACCGGAATCCCCGGCCCCCATCATGCATGCATACATACATTTACACAAATAAATAAACAAATAAATAAATAAATAAATAAATAAATATATATATATATATATGTATATATATGCATGCATGCATGCATGCATGCATGCATGCATGCATGCATGCATGCATGCATGCGGACATGCGAAGCGCAACATTGATGCTACGGCACAGTTTAAGCACTGGGCGCTCTGTGCGGCAGCGGTTGCTACAGGTCTGCACCTGTCACAACACGAAACAGCTAGAGAATGCAAGAGACACACCAGCTCAGTCCTCGTCTTTATGTGTCCCACCCCAAAAAGCTCTGCAAGTCGCGAACTCCTCAATCCTGATGCAGAACCCGACAGGAATCCGGAAATGCCTTCGGATCCGAAAATTCCTGGACACAAATCCCAACCAGGGGATTGCATTACTAATGGATGCCTCACTCTGTCACCAGCAATCATGGTAATCATACATTGTAGTACCAGCGGCAGCAGTAAGAATCCCTGCATGGTCCTAGTCATCATCCTGAAACTTTGCACGCGTCAACGCAGCTTTGGCTTACCTCTTGTGCGGTTCTGATGGTTGCCGGAAGCGAGACGTGCTCCCGTCGGTCCTTGGTTGGGGCCTCCAACAATCAACTAAGGCTCCTTCGGAGCTCACAAACATGAAAACGCGAGCCAGATAGAGTTACCTGCAGACATTGCCCCCTGCACGTCTGCCATAGCCATGCTCCCTTCTGTTGAGGTTTTGCTTTTGGGCTCCGGGCCGCGTCGAAACCGTAAGGAGACACGGGAAGCTAAACAAGCCCAGTGGACTTCATCCCAGCAGCGCTCCCACCTCAGACCAAGGGTCGCGGAGTCTCCACATGCATGGGATGCTCTTGAAGTACTGACTGCGATGTCTTCGATCTATCTTCGGAAGGCCAAGCCCGCCGACAGTAGAAGGACAACAAGCAAGTACATGTCCATATACCGACGTACATAGAGAAATAAATACATCCATACACATGAATGAATAAATAAATAAGAAATATATATATATATATATGCACATATGATGTGTGTGCATACATGTAACATACCGACATATCCATCCATCCATCCATCCATCCATCTGTCTATCTATCTCTCAAGCTCGCTAACCAGCTAGCTCTCTCGCTCTCGTTCCGATGTTCTCCCTCTCACATTACAAGGCCAGGGCTTCTTCCGCCAGGTAAATGGCCGACCGCACACGACGCAGTCCTGCGGCAATATACAACCCAAGGGACCAGCCGTTGAAAAGTCTCGAAGCACACGCATTCGTGTAAAAAGGAGCCAGTGCGAGCGGTCGGAACGGAGCTCGGAAAATCCGAATCCCACGTCGAAGCGACTCGAAGGTGCTGTCCTTGACAGGCAGGTTGTGAGGATTTCGGAAGGGAGCGCCGCCGGTCATCTTGCCCCTCTCAGGGCTAAGCAGCGACAGAAACACGGCCCACCACAAAGGAGGAATCACTTCACAGCTGCGTTTGGGGCTGAAGATGGGCGGTGGCACTATATTTTATGATGGCCATGACAAGGGTGAATATAAACACGGCGATGAACATGGATAAGACATGAGACGATGAGGGTTGTTGCCAATGCTGCTGTTGACTCTGCTCATGATGATCATGATGATGATGATGATGATGATGGTGGTGGTGGTGAGGTAATGATAGTGGCGACGACTGCCAGGAGGATGCTAATAAGTCTTTTTGTTTTTTCAGCCTGAGTTGGCAGCCCAATGTCTGTAGCACAGGCAGGAGCTCAAGCTGGCTGGGCTGGCTGTTGCCTGCTCCAGCTGCCTACAAGCTTTGCCTTCCAGCGTGCAAAACCCTGCAAAGGAGTTGGCTAGCTGCACGCGAGGTTCCAGTCTTCGAGGTGACCCGACACGAAGAATCCCGCCCGCACGTCCAGGCCTTGCCAACAGTGGCTGAGGAGCGCTCCACCTGGTAGCTGAGGCTGGCTTTGGGTTCTTGCAGCATCCTCGCCGAGCACGTTCGGCAAGGAACTACAGAAAAGACTACGCTGCTTTCGTCGAGCGTCAGCTCACTGCGTGTAGCGACTCGGCTCGACCTATAAACTCGCTCGCAAGAGTCCGGGTCGAGCCTGCAAATGCCCCTGGCAAGCACGCTCTGTGCTTGCAGAAACGTCAGGAGCATGGCATGGGAGCTACAGAAGCACTCCCTCAAACTGCGCGGGTGTTGTCGGTATGTGCTGCTTGCCGGCATGCTGCGCTGATGAAGGGGCAAAAACCTGACTGTGCTGCGGCTTTGGCATCTTCGGGGAAATCGGGAGTTGTCTAAACTATGATTCGAAGACTCTACAACGGCACTTTGAGTGTGCTACAACTGACACGCCCAGGACAATGCAGCTGCCTGAGCCAAAGCAAAGCTTCCGACGAAACAAGGACCTGATGCATGAGTATGAGATGGCAACCACACGAATTGTCGATTTATTCTTGGCAATCTATCCACGTCGGACTCATGGAATTGCATCGGCACGCAGCCGTCTTCCTGTTCTTCGGGTGCCGAAGAGTTGCTGGGATGTGCAGCACATACTTGCTCGAAATTGATCCGAAATGGTGTACATGGGGGCTGCTCCTGATCCGTCTGGACCCTGATCCGAACTCCACGTGGTCACGCGCAAAGCAGACGGCGACCTGCGGATCACTTCGCCTTCGTTAGGCAAGCTTTGGGATGATTTGTTACATCATAGGTTCGGGGTCAAAGGTTGACGAGTTCAGGCTTGAACCTTTGCACGTCACTCTCGGTCCTTTTGGCCGCTTTGCCTCTCGCCTAGGATGCATGGAGATACGGTCGCTTGCGAAATCAACGACTGAACAAATGTGATCTTCATATTTCGGTACTTGCTGAATAGTCTCTCTCTCTCTCTCTCTCTCTGTCTCTCGGTGACTTTCCTCCGCTTTAGTATTCTTCGGAGTTCCACAAGAACCCTAAGTTTCGCTGGACCCGAATCCAAGGGACCCTGAATGCGAGGACATCGAAACTCACAAAACAAGGCACCCTGTGGGGGGTCTGCCTTCACCTCTCTGGGACCCGCACGATCAAGAAGCCGATGGAGGGCAGGTAGAGCAAACGCTCGGCCACCAGCGTGCCTGACCATTTGTTCAGGACTCCCTTTAGCTTAAGGTCTAAATCTGTTTTAATTACATGTTTCCCGTTGGATCCATGTGTAAGTTTCTAGTTGTGTCCTGTCACTGGTCAGCCAAGCATTCCATTGCTGTGACTCAGTTGGAAGGTTTTGTTGGGTTTGGAGCAACTCCACGCGACCCTGCTTCTATATTTGCGGTGCCGGCGCCAAACGTACAGAAAGAAGGCTCAAGACTTTGTCCCTAAACCCCGAAGCCCAAAAATCCAGATCTTCGGGCTCGTGTTCTCGTCCGGGCTTCGGGTTTTGGCATAATAACATGGACCCAGAACAGCCTTAGCATAGCTAGCATCGTTCATGCTGAGCGAAACCACTAAGATCACCATTTTTGTATTCACAGCAAGACCAAGCATAGTAAGAAACATGAAGCAGGTGCTGATGACGAGAATAACAAGGAACCCGGGCATGCATTTGGGGACCCTCTGCTCCGGAGCCGTGTCAGGAGCCCCCAATCGTGGGCCTATGGGAAAGAGGATGTTGGTCATGGGCAAGAAGCTCAAGACGAAGATCGCCAGACCCAGAATCGGAGCCTGCCGCAGACATGAGGTGAAGAAGCCAATGAAGCCTGATAGAAACCCTTGTATAGCCGTCAGACTCCCGATTACCCCAGCTGAAGGTGTCGGCACCTGGCACCTGGGCCACTCTGCCCACACAACCTTGTACACGAATTTATGGCCTTCATGTCCAGATCTGCAACAACCCTGCCCATGTCTCCAACTACATAGAAAGCCATGGGTTAGGCTGTTCGCGGCTTACTTTTGCGGCTTTGGGTTTGGATTTGTGGGTGGTCCAAATGAACCATCGGTGCGCCCGACCTCGCCTCAGCGCTTTCGCGCTGGCGCGCACGGGCGCGCCGAAGGCCTGCCAGCGCCCGGGTGGCACTGGCGAGCAGTAGGCCGTACCTTTGCGATGCGGGAGGCGTTGTTTTGCATTCTTTGAAGCTGCCTATCTCGAAGTGTAGCCTTCAACATTGTACAACCTCTGCTGTTTGGTCGGGTCCCAGACATCAAGTCTACAGGTTTCTGTTCTAGAGAAGTATGGTTGTGGGTTCGAGATGGATCCCAGGACAACTTCAGACTGAAACCCCATGTGTGCAGCGAAGCTTTCGCGAACAAAGCTATCGAACGATAGCATGAGGAAGAACCGGACGAAGGAAGGCGAGTACTAACAGAAAGGAACTGTGCCAAGCTTTGGGTCAGACTTGCAGGTGCTAAGCCTCCACCCCTACCGGTTGTGCCGCATCCTTAACCTAAGCCCGATTGGTCTAGAGCTGTTGCACCAGTTGCGGCAGCTGCTCCTATTAACACTTGTAGTAGACGGCGACGATGTCGAGGACGACGATCGACGGCATCTACGAGGAGAAGGTGCTGCTGCGGCTGCTATTCCCAGTAGTACAGCAATAGGGGTCACACTCATGTTCGTAGGTATCGTGATTTTTGCTATCAGCATCATTTTTTTTCAGCACAGTACCTCGTCGAGCACACGCACGGGACAAGGCCGCTACGCATGCGAAGGTTTGGATGGCCTGCTTCTTTCCTGAGGCTGTCAAGTGCGTGGTCTGGTCTATATACTCCATGCAACATTTTCCAAACCACCCCACTCTCTGTGGTACGAGTCCTGGCTAGAATCCGCTTTTTAGCCTGAGCTTGGAGCTACCAACCCTGTAGCTTGAACATACCCAACGTAGGTAAGAAGCCCAACGGTTCTCGAATGCCTGCACACACACTTTTTGTGACTCGGCACGCCCGTCGCGAACAAATACTATGGGCTTCCATGTGCTGCCTATGAGAAGACACTGA